GGGCGGGGGGCCCCGCCGCTGGGTGCGGGCACAGGTGTGCGGCGGGAGGGGCGGGCGGGGGAGGAGGGGCCTGTGGCGGCAGGGGCGGCGGAGGGCGGTGGGGAGGAGGGGCTTCTCCCTCCGGTTTCCCCCCCGCCAGCCCCGGGCACTCCGGCTCCGTCGCCTCCCGCCGTGAGCGGAGCCCCCCGCCGGGGCGCAGCTGGTTGCGGAGCGGAGCCGGTCCGCCCCGTCGCGCCGCTGGAAGGATGGAAGGAGCGGGGTGGGGAAGGGGAGCCGGCAGGTTTCCCCTTCCCTGCGGGGTGGCACTTGAAAGCAAAGCGCCGAACACGTTCCCTTCCCCAGCGCAGCGGGCATCGGTGGCGGCAGAGATTGACTTCGCGGGGCTGGGATCGGGGCAGGGGGTAAGGAGATTAGTACACGACTGATTAACGTAATGAGTCAGGGATCTTGACAAAACGATGCCCCTCTCTGACCATAGGGATGGCTGAGCCTTGTCATAAAATGTGGTGAAGAGGCCCCGTGCTGGGAGGGGTGACTGTGAACAGAACTGTGCTTTGGAAATCACTTGGATCTCACGGATTCTCGGGGTTTTCAGAGGGCTTTTCTGCTCCAGAGCTTCAAAGATGCTCTCCCTTAGGCATCGGTGTGATTGTTATCGGATGCGATAACACAGATGAGGAAGACATCCAAACCTTTCTCTCAACTTGTACGTGTGTCGTGCCGGGTGCTTGGCTTGCACAGCGCTGAGTTGCACCAGCACATGCTCTTCCACATGAGCCAAGAGGTGCATCTCCAGGACTGCCTGCTGGAAGGCTGATTGTTGATTGCTAGGACCTAGCTCTTTTACTGTCTCATCAATGAAATCAGAAGGGATCCTTGGTAAAGGCAGAAAAAACACCTGCTAGCGAGCAGGAAGGATGTAAGTGTGGCAGTGATGGCTCCTGCTGCCTCATCATGGACACACGTTTAGTATATCTGCTCACCATGTGCAGAGCATCTCCCACTGCTTCCAAGAGTGGTAGTGGCAGAAGTGGAGAAGAAGTAGCAAGCTGCACCCAGACAGAAAGATGCAAAATCCCAGGCATTTTAGTCTGAGAAGTTCCCATGTTTCCATGCCACCAGCAATGGGAGCCAGTGCCAATTAGGGCAGGGTACAGGGGCAGAGGTAGACCATGCACTTCTGCAAAGTATCTCTGATCATCAGCAGTGGGGAGGAAGAGCAGAGAAAGGAAAAGGAGTGTCACTGAACTTGGAGAGGGACACAGACCTGGCTAACCAATATTTCTTTTTTCAAGTTATGTACTGTCAACTCTTATCAGGCATAGAGTGGAATAGAAAAAGAAGACCAAATAAGCTGTTAATGGACACTTTTTATGGATAGCGTCTATTACTTCATGGCCAGAGAGAGTATTTTCGGCATCTTTTATTGACAGGAGAGAGCCATTTAGCAACGTATTCAGAAAAAGAGCATTGGAATAGGAGTTATATTGTCGCTGGAAAAAAATGTGGACAAGGGGAAATGAAAGCAAGAACTCAGATTTCACATGTCAAAGTCACTTCCTCTTTATCCCCTCTATAGGGGGGGAGTATAGCATGTTTAGCCATACACAGAAGGAGGAACAAGGCTTTAAAACTTGGCTATTCTCAAAGAATGTTATCTCTGGGTATGTGCACACTGTGCAGCAGCCTCTTTCTGTGCTGGCCTTTTGTTCCACCGAAGCCATCTGAAGAGTTTAATGTAAGCCTGGACACAATTAGCATTTAGCCCTTTGAATACACCTGTGTCTCTCTGTGGAAGGGATGGGGAAGATGGGGAACAAAAACCCAGGCAGCTAGGAGATCCACTCTGCACCCCGTGTCACAGCCAGATTTGTATCACCCTCAGTGTCAGAAGGATCTTTGGTGTATTAAAAACTAGTATCTTCAAATAGCCTTAAAAATAGTTGCCCATCTAAATCTAGTGTTATATACAAGTCTTTGTTATTAAAGACAGAATAATTATTATGCATGATTAAATCTACCTTTTGGCAGGTGCAGGAAAACACTTGGGCTGCAGAGAGGACTGGCAAAAAGCCCTGGGAGTTGAGCCAGTTTAAGATAGGCCTCGTTAAGCAGAATCTCAAGGTAGGGGGATGATAGTTAAATGCACGTCTTTGAGAAGTTATAACTACGTTATTGCTCAAGGACATAGGCAATATGAAATAAACCTTTACAGTAATGTTTTCAGGTGGTCAGGGGCATTTTAAGTATAATAATGCCTGAGACCCTTTCTTCAAATAATTTCAGGTGATGAACAAATGTGTAGTCAAGCTTCTGCTGAAAAAGTTGCAGACCAGTAATTCCTTCTTGTGGGTAGTAGTGTAGTCCATGTAGGAAAGGAAAATACATACCTTTGAGATGTGTACATTTTAAATGGATACCTCAACATCAGGTTGGCGTCAGAACCATTGTCTCCATCTCAAATCAGATTTTTGCTTGTCTCTTCTCTGCAAAGCATTTGGAATAGGAAAGTTCCCAGGGCTGTAACTAGAAAAGGATGAAGATTTGAGCAAGACTCAAGACTTGCAGAGAATTTTAGGGTGAAAATAGTATATCAAAGACTGTCCTAGGAGCACTGGTCAATGCAGTAACTTTGATGAAGTTATATATACACTAATATATATATATATATATCAAGATCAAAACTGGAGATTCATGTAGCAGGTTTACTTCCGCAGTCTCTCTATGAGTCCTAAACTAAAGTCTGGTTAATAAACAGAGCTGAGAGATGGTTTGCCGTGGCTTGGCACTTTGTAATTGGGCTGTTACCTTGGGTTTGCATGGCATGCAGGGGTGGCTTCTGTGAGAAGCCTGTGGCTTCTGCTAGCAGCTCCAAGGCTGAGACTGAGCCAGCCAGGGATGGTGGTAGCCCCTCTGTGTATGTAAGAAGGGGAAAAAAATGCAGTTACAGTCAGAGAGGAGTGAGAGAAACAACTTCGCAGGCACCAAGGTCAGTGAAGAAGGAGGGGGAGGAGGTGCTCCAGGCTCTGGAGCAGAGATTTCCCTTCAACCCCTGGTAAAGACCATGGTGAGGAAGGCTGTCCTCCTGCAGCCTGTGGAGGTTAATGGTGGAGCAGATATCCACCTGTGTCCATGGAGCACCCTGCACCAAAGCAAGGGGATGCCCAAAGGAGGCTTTGACCCTGTGAGAAGCCTGTGCTGGAGCAGGACATGTGGCCCTGAAGAGAGAGAGAGGAATTGACTCTGGAATAGGTTTGCTGGCAGGACTTGTGACCCCATGGGGGATCCATGCTGGAGCAGTCTGTTCCTGCAAGTCTCTACCCCATGGAATGAACTCATGCTGGAGCAGTTAATTAATAACTGCACCCCGTGGGAAGGACCCACACTGAAGAAATTCATGGAGAGCTGTCTCCCCTGGGAGGGACTCCACACTGGAGCAGGTGAGGAGTGTAAGGAGTACTCCCTCTGAGGGGGAAGAAGCAGCAGAGACAACGCGTGATGAATTGACCACAACCCCCATTCCCATCCCCCTGCACTGCTCAGGTGGAGGAATTAGGAGAATTGGGCCTGAAGTTAAGCCTAAGAAGAAGGGAGGGGTGAGGGGAAGACATGTTAAGATTTGGTTTTTATTTCTTATTACCCTACACTGATTTCTAATTCTCAATAAATTAAACTAATTTCCCCAAGTCAAGTCTGTTTTGCCTGTGATGGTAATTGCTGAGTGATTTTGCTGGCCTTATCTCAACCCACCAGCCTTTCATTAAATTTTCTCTCCTTTGTTCATCTGAGGAGGGGGAGTGATAGAGTGGCTTTGGTGGACACCTGGCCTCCAGCCAAGGTCAACTCACCACACCTGTATAATAGTTTCTTCTAAGGAGCAGGGCTCTCCTTCAGCCTTGCTCCTCACACTGTGCTGTGTCCATGTATCCTGAGCAGAGTGAGGAGCAGAAGTTATGCAAGAGAAGGGAAGGAGGACACTATCTCAGTAATCCCAGAACCATTTGCGTCGTAGCCTTCAACCTGTTCCTGAGTCCTCCAAAGACATCATCCTCCTTTCTACCCTCAAGGACATCCTTCAAGGTGATATAGTGATAGTGTTTTGGTAGCAGCATTGTGAAAGCTATTTTAAAGTACGTATACGATACTAACAGACTGCATGACCTAGCCTCAAGTTGGGCTGGTGTTTGGGCAGAGCAAACCTCTGCATGTCTAGAAAAGACTAAATGTGTTTTTTATCTCTTGGTTCCTTAGTAACTTTACTTTCACTTAGTAACTTTTTTTTTTTTTTTTTTTTTGGTGGGGGGAGGTGGACTAGATGATCCCTGAAGGTCTCTTTAAATAATTTTGTGATTCTGTGATTCACCTGTGCAAAATGGGTGTGGAATTCTACCATGTGTAAGCAATAGCACATGGTCCTGAGCAACAGGAGGATGAGATCTTACAGCTCTTTACCATGTCAGACTCCACTGCACTTCCCATGTGATGTAAGGAAAGTGTGGCATGCAAAATGCTATTTAAGAATTTACAGGCAAGTCTGTTAATTAATATTTCAGTGGCCAGAAGAACCCACTGTGGTCACGTTGGTTGATATTTTTATCTAACGTAACTTAGATAATTTCTTTATGTCTTGTTTCTTCTTTAAGCCATTTACCCAGAGTCCCACTTATTGAGATCAGCGTGTCTCCTTCTCCTTAGTTTCAGTGCCATGTGTTAATGAAACAGATTTAGCTTAAATATCAGGAAGACATTCTTTCCTGTGAGGGTGGTGAGGCTCTGGAACAGGTTGCCCAGAGAAGCTGTGGATGCCCCATCTCTGGAAGCATTCAAGACCAGGCTGGATGGGGCTTTGAGTAACCTGGTCTGGTGGGAGGTGTCCAGACCCAAGGCAGGGGTTTGGAACTTGATGATCTTTAAGGTTCCTTCCAACCTAAATCATGCTATGAAAATTTGTCTTTCTTCC